CAGTCTGGCAGTTATATCGCTGCAGTGTTACAGTCTGGCAGTTATATCGCTGTACAAACTGTGCCCGAAAAACATGTCACCGGAAGAAAGCATTTTTAATTAATGATCAAAGTTTTAATGTAACGACATTAATTATCGAATAATTATATTTATCGTAAGGCATACAAAAATACTTTAATTATATACCGTATATGAAATAAGGATCTACCACCTCAATAATCATATAATATATCACGTATTGAAAACACTTTGGTGCGTCAGATTTGAATTATTGTTAAGAAAATGTTTAGAAATTTTTAGTTCTATCGTTTTAGCAAATAAACGAAATAAGTTTTAAAGATTTAAATGGTTTTATATTAAATTGCAGCTGCTGGTCAATAATAAATAAAATTATATTTTTATTTGCAGGTGCAGCAAGTGCAGTGCCTTTCCCGGCATCTGAAACCAGGTGAATATGAGCATTGATTTATAAAATACCATTACAAACTATGGTAAACAACGATACCTTCAAAAATGATCAATATCATTAGAATAAAAAAAATAACGTCAGAAAATACACAAGTCCCATGAGTGAACACTAAACGGTAATACGTGTTCCTTTATTTTCTGGGTTAAAACCCTATTTTATTTGGTCATTGTTTAAAACAGCAAAATGGTTAGTGCAACAACATATCTGCTTATTCCTCTTTTTAGAGCATTCAGTAAAATATAATTGAAATCACGATACATCTAAGATGTTAATATGTATGAATGTATGTATCACAAAGTCTTACGAGACTCCTAAGGGGGTACCCAACAAGAGTAAGATGGGAACTTGAATTAGTCCCTCAAATTTTCTGCACATTGCATTTGCTACACATACATCAACATACGGCCCCTCCCTCCACCAGTTTTCCGCCGGTGAAGCCAAAGATCAACTATATCAATAATATCTCATCTTATACCTATAAAACTCATGCTAAATACGTTTTTCAACACATTTTCAACATATTACTGAACACACGTCACCTACATCCACCAGCTTTTCGCCTGTCCAGCATAAGATCAGTTATATCAATAATATATAATCTTAGACCTATAAAACTTAATACTTAGACTTATAAAACTCATACTAAATATTTTTTGCAATACATTTTCAACATATTTCTTAACACACGTCACCTACTTCCACCAGCTTTTCGCCGGTCCAGCACACGATCAGTAATGTCTTTAATATATCATCTTAGACCTAGAAAATTATATACATAGACTTATAAAACTTATACTAAATGTGTTACACAGCACACATGCAACACATTTCTATACATACCCTACCTCCTCCCCTCATCAGCGCCCCGGTGCAGCCCAAGATCAGCTACAGCAGGGAGACGGTGGCCAAGCCCGGCGACAACGTCACCATCGACTGCGGGGTCGAAGGCATCGACTTGTCTGGCGTCGCTGACTTCAGCGTCGCCTGGAGCAAGGTTGGCATCAAGGGGAAGTTGAGGTGGGCATTAAGGGGAAGTTAAAGTGGGCTTCAAGGGGAACTCGAGGTGAGCATCAAGGGGGAGGTCACGGTGGGTATCAAGGGCAGCTTGAGGTTGGCATCAGGGGGAGATTAGGGTGGACATTAGGGGAACTTGAGGTGGGCATCAAGGAGAGCTTGAAGTGGGCATTAGAAGGAGATTATGGTGGTCCTCAAGGGGTGGTTACGGTGGGCATCAAGGGGAGCTTGAGGTGGGCATCAAGGGGAGGTTAGAGTGGACATCAAGGGGGAGGTTATGGCGGCATCAAGGGGAGCTTGAGGTGGGAATTAGGGGGAGGTTAGGGTGGACATCAATGGGAAATTGAGGTGGGCATTAGGGGGAGGTTATGGTGGGCATCAATAGGAGCTTGAGGTGGGCATTAGGGAAGCTTGAACATCAGTGTGATGGTGAAAGTGGGAGATGAAATCAGTGGGATGGTGAAATTGCGGTGGCAGTTGAAGTGATTTTACGAGGGTGGTTGAGGTAAACTTACGGTAGGTGGTTAAGGTGAGCTTATGGTGGGAGGTTAGGGTGATCTTATGTTTAAGGTTGTCATGGAGTTACTGTGGGAGGTAAAAGTTCGAGGGTGGTTGAGGCAAACTTACGGTAGGTGGTTAAGGTGAGCTTATGGTGGGAGGTTAGGGTGATCTTATGTTTAAGGTTGTCATGGAGTTACTGTGGGAGGTAAAAGTTGACTGATAGTGGGAGGTTGAGGCTAAAGTATGATGGGGTCAAGGAAATCGGACGAAGTGCAAGCTAAGGCGGACTCTTGTTGAGGGGAATTTAACCATGGATGTTAAGGTGGAAGTTGAGGTGTAACCTAAGAGTAGTATATCTGTGCCGCCTGTAGAAAAAAAGAAGCCGAGTTGTTAGTTCCGAAGTGAGTCCAAGTATTTTTTGGGTCAGAGCAAACTTAATATCGAACTTATGGTACGGAATTGGGGCAAAGGGAATATATAAAAATAAGGTTATCTAACAATAACATATTTTATAATAATATCCATATACGGCATGCAGATCGACAAGCCGAAGCCAACCAACTCGTACCCTATCAGTTCCGGGGAGAAGGTGGTGCTCTTCTCTTCCAAGTACCGCGTGCTGCATCCCGACGGCACCTTCCAGTACTCTCTGCAGGTTGGTGATGGTCTATAGCTTTTTGGTAGTACTACCTGCAGATTGGTTGTAGCATAAACCTACCTTCCAGTAGTCCACTCTCTTCAGGTTAGTTATGACGTGCACCTATCTTCCTGTACTCTCTGCAGGTTGGTTTCGGGGTACATCATCTTTTTTTGAATTACTTGCATTTTGGTTGTTGCGTATACCTACCTTCTAGTACTCTTAGCAGGTTAGTTGTGCGTTCACATACCCTCCCATGCCCCATGCAGGTTATTTATAACGTATACCTACCTATTGGTACTCTCTGCAGGTTACTTATGGAGATGGACGTAACTGTAAATAACCTAGGTTCTACTTCGGTCTTTACGTAAGCCTCTTAGATTCTGAACATCGCACCGTACACTCTTACGACATTGTTTATTTTCATGAGTATATTCACTTAATTGGCGGAACCACAGATCCTGAACTCGCATAGGAGGACGCGTTTGCGGTATCATTATTAATCCTAAGGGTTGTCATGGAGACGTGAAAAACACACTTTTGAAATGCTTTGTTATTTTATATCTAAGGCTCATTGAGGTGCCTCACCATAAGACTTACGACAACCTAACCGTATCGACAGATCCTGGACATCGCGGAGGAAGACACAGGAACCTATCGTTGTACCGTAAACTTTGGCGACAACCAAAAGATCAACGCCGAAGTGCCCGTTTTGATCCAGAAGGCCCCCTACTTCGTAGACGCCACCACCAAGACCTTAACGGTCACTGAAGGCGACGCAATCTCCATCGACTGTCAACCTGGTGGTTCCCCAACACCCACCGTCTTCTGGGAGCGCGTGGCCGACGAGCTGCCCTACTATGGAGGAAACTTCTTTAAGTGAGTACTTTTTAGAGGGAAGTTCTTCAGGTGGTCGATTTTAGGGGGAAGTTCTTCATGTGGGTCCCTTTTAGGGGGATGTTCTTCACGTGGGTCGTTCTAGGGGGAAGTTCTTCAAGTGGGTCGCTTCTAGGGGGAAGTTCTTCAAGTGGGTTGCTTTTAAGGGGAAGATTTCAAGTGGATCGCTTATAGGGGGAAGTTTTCAAGTGGGTTGCTTTTAGAGTGGAGCTCTGCAAGTGGGACGCTTTTAGAAGAAAGTTCTTTATAAGTGGGTCGCATTCGGGAAGAAGTTCTTCAAGTGGGTCGGTTTTAGGGGGTAACTTGTTCAAGTTCAAGTGGGTCGCTTTAAGTGGGAACTTCATTAAGTTAGTTACTATCAATAGGAATTTCTTCCAAGTGGGTCGCCTTGAATTTAAGGTCACTTTTTTTCAACGCGCAACATCTTTAATACAACAATTGATTCATACGGCTACATTCCACGGAGGTCCAGCACGTCTGTCAAGCTTTAGCCCCCCCAAAAAATAAATTTCACGGCCAAATTAGGAAATCAAAATACACTGAAACAGTGGATGTCCTCTCATGCACACAGAGAATTATAAAAAGATGAAGATTGAAAAAGATATGAAATTCAAAATGTGAAGCTCTAGTACCCCAAGAAGTAGAGTACCAGAGCTCTCCATTTCACCACTCTCAGTGGCAACACCTGGGTGGGATGTCTCACATGTAGTGATATCCGCCTCACATAAATGTCCGAACAGCCTAATATTACCTCCTCTCCTCCCTCTACTTCTTCGCAGGGACAACCAACTGGACATCCCTGCAGTGGAGGCCTCCCACAGCGGACGCTATGTGTGCCACGCCGACAATGGTCTGGGGGAGCCGGCCAGAAGTGAAGTCGTCCTCGCGGTCCAGGTGGGTGACCACAACAATGCAAGGGACCAAAATTCAGAGTACCAAAATAATGCAGAGGACCAAAGTAAGCTGGCCAACGGGGGTGGGCGATCATCATTCTAGAATTTGCCATCTAGCGGAATCTCGAACCCCGCAACTCGCGCTCTAATCATGGTGATCTTTACCACTTTGCCATACCCGTCTGCTTGATTACCGCCAGTTACTCCATTTGCTCAGAATCCGGAGGTTGCTCATTCAACATGTTGAAAATATTTTGCTAACCTCAACTCATTTCTCTGCTCAAATAATGCCGGTCAATCATCCAAGTCACCGGTTCTTCAAAGCCTTTAATTCATTGACCATTTTTTGAATACATCAAACTACCCGCATATTTCCACCTATTGAACTACCCGCTTAATTGAACTACCAATAACTATACATCAATGATCCATCAAACCCTACCTCCGCAGTACGCGCCCAGACTGTCCGTGTCCAGCAACTCGGTGGCAGCTGTGATTGGTGGTACGGTGGAGGTGACGTGTGAGGTGGACGCTTATCCTCCCTCTGAGCTGGCCTGGTACAAGGAGGGGGAGATCCTGCTGGGGTCTGCCAACGTCAGGTGAGTGACCACAACTACTGGAGGTCTATATGGTGGAGGACTGGGACTGGCCACTGAGGTCAAAATGGAGGAGGACTGGGACTGGCCACTGGAGATAATAATAGTGGAGGATTAGGACTGGCCAGTGAGGGTCGAAATAAAGGAACACTGGGACTAGCCACTGAGGGCAAGACGGAGGACTGGGACTGGCCATTAGCAATCAAAATAAAGGAGGACGGGGACTGTGCACTGGGGATCAAAATGGAGGAGAACTGGGACTGGCTACTGGGGTCAAAATGGAGGAACACTGGGACTGGCCACTGGTGATCAAAATATAGGAGGACTTGGACTGGCCACTTGGGGGTAAAAGATAAGGAAAATTGTTATTGTAAGCGATAATTGAGATGTTACTTAGACTTGATATTAAACTAAAATTAAACACAACAATTTCCCTCCTTACGCAGGATCTTCAACAAGGCTGTGGAGACTCCCCGAGTCCGAGAGCAGAAGGAGCTCGAGCCTTACCTCACGCCCCCGCAGGCGGTGGTGTCCACCCTCACCATCCAAGAGGTGACACCGGATGATCTGGGCACCTACACCTGCCAGGCCGTCAATGTAGTAGCACCCGTCACTCAACCCGTCGCGATACTGCGTGAGTAAGAGTATCGTGTGTAGGTTAAACTATTTATTCGTTTCGTTTGTTTCGTTTATTAATGTCATAACATTTTCACCAAAAGATCGTTTGACACTAGAAGTACATAGTAGCAAAAATTATTATTTAGCAAATACTTAGAGGTCTAGTACTTTTTAGTACTTTTAGGTTATACTACAGAAGAGGTAGAAAAATTTCCATATTTATTTGTTACGTTGTAGCTACAGTGTTAAAAGAATATTTATTTTGATGTTGAACTAAGAGAGCAAGAATTAGATAAGCTCTCCACTCGTTGGAGTGACCTTTACCTGCTCAAGGTAGCCTGCGTCCATGGGTAATACCCCGGGTAACCAGTAGTACCTCTATTCAATTACCACAAGTTAGGTAAGATTGAACAAGAGATCTCTGGTTCCACAATTGACCTGCAGTCTCTTAATAAATTCATAAAAGGTTATTTTTTATGCTACTGCATTTTTTCTCCAGCTAGTACGTCAGTAGTAGTTTAAAACTTTTTTGAACCTTCTTGGTCAAGAATATCACTCTGGTACCAAGTATTAACAAGAATGTTGCTACGGAGGTATATCGGTGGGATTAATGTGTCCCGTGTCTCCACGAAGTATAATTTTTCCTGCGAGTCTCAAAATACAACGGGATCGTATAATTGAACGATTTTTGGCCGGCCACTAAAACAAGACTATACCCACAGTCACCACGCCCCCCGCCATCAAACGGCAGTCCCAGCGTCGCGTCTTCTACCAGGACGCTGAGATGAGTGGCGGCAGCGGCCGCAGCGCCGTCCCTATTGCCCTCGAGTGCGAGGCGTCGGGCGTCCCCCAGCCAGAGTACAAGTGAGTGAAAGGGGGGTAATCTGGTGTATGGGGGAAAACGGGTGTATGTGGACAAACAAACCGGTGTATTGGGGGACAAAGGGTTGTAGGAAGGCAGTGGATATGGTGCTGTTGGCAGTGGGTATGGGAGGTAAGTGAGGGGAAAAGAAAACAGGAGTAGAGAGATCAAGAATGGATAACCGCAGACATGTAAGGTCGAGCAAGAAAAAACTGCAGACTACGTTCAGTACTGGACAGCACAAGACGCTACAAATTGGTTGTGAAGAGCGTATGGGCACCATACGCTCTTCACATGGGGTAGGAAGAGCGTAACGGGGTATGAAAGAGTTGTTGAACTGCAAGATCACTCAACCTTTTCCACCCCCTTTTTGAGTGAGATTTTTCTTTTCCAATCTCCTCAACCTTTGCATAACTTCTCCTATCCCCCACTCTTTTCACAAACTTATCCACCTTTTTCACGTCTTCCATTATACCCTCACTCTTGACATAAGCTCTCTCAACTCTCGCTCCATTCACAACTTGTATCCCTCTCTCATTCAATCTCCTTTCCAACCACCCTCCTTTTTATTCTGAAATTTTTGTCCGTGCTCATCAATTAAACTCTACCTGAGGATCTGGGTACGTGACTAAGGTCGTGAAGGATAAGTAAGACACATCTGTCTGATAACATCTTTTATACGGGGCGGTTATACAGGAGTACGATACAGATGTGTAAGCTACGGCGTTGACCGTAAGGTCGGAGAACTCAACCGATACGCTACATCGCGGAGCTCTTATCAACTACTGCGGGGGGCTTACTTAAGGCTGCTAGCCCTTATATAGCCTTCGCTTCCGCCTACAACTAAGATCTTGATCGCGTGATCTATCACGTGTCTTCCAGATGCTGACTCATGTCATCAATCTCTATCAGGTCAAGTGAATATTACGTCTCAATTACATACAATTATAATGATTATAATGAGACGCCTGATTGACACCGAACACTTTCAATATAATTATTAAAACCCAAAGCTTTTTGAAGCACCCACTTTTTCAAATCATATTTCACCAAGGATCACCTCTAACCCACCGAGGGTTACCTCTAACTCACCCCATTCATGATTCTGATCCTACTTTCAGGTGGACCCGTAACAACGAGGTGCTGGTATGGCAGTCTGATCCTCGTATGTCCCTGGAGCCCTCAAGTGGCACCCTGCTGATCACGGACCCCGAAGTGAAGGACAACGGCTGGTACCAGTGCATCGCCTACAACGACCTCGGAGTCGCCAAGTCCGACCCCGTGTACCTCCTCAACGCAACCAGGTACCATAGCTACCAGTACTGCTTGTACATAGTTAGGTACTTGTGTGTGGGTACAATTATAAGATTGATACGAATGGTACTAGTTATACTCGCTCTCATGGAGCGAAAAATTCATTACGGACAGTCGGTCTAAATTCATCACCTTATATATACATCACCTTTCTTCTCATTGATTACTCTCATAACAAATTCACCCATTCCCAATACCTACAATTTAATTGGTAGGTTTTAGTACAATATTGAAAATTTATCGCGTCTAAGGTATTAATCGCTCGTGTATTAATCTCTCCAAATGTATAGAAATGTTTTTCCTTTGTTGACGTCATTCATATCCTGTTCATCTTTATTTTAGTTGATCAACGCGTTGACCAATACCGTGATGATCTTAGATAATTCCATTATTATAGATGGACTCGATGACCAATCTCTTGATACTTTGGTAAGTTTTTTTTTCACTTCAGTCAACATTCAAGTTCATAATAATGTCAATAGTAATACCAATAATGAATGATGTATTATTTCGACCAACCAGTTTCATTTTTCAGGGTGTCCTTTGATACGGCCGGGCAGCCGCTGGTGGAGCTCACTGCGGAGCTCGGCAGGCCCTTCAGCATGTCCTGTCCCAAAGCCACTGGTGCGGTGGGGGTTATAGGGTGTTGTGCTTTGGGGGAGGAGTGGCGTGGTGGTGCTGCCTGATTGTAATGTGTGTGCTACTTCATTGAGGGGTTGTTGTATGATGGGGGTTGAAAGATCTGTTGGGAGCTTAAGGACCTCGGGTGAGTCCGGTCCTACAGGGGGTTTTCGAGAAGCGCAGTTGGTATGGAACAGAGTACTTGGCGATAGGATCTGTAGTTTTGGGATGAATTTAGGATCTTGAGGCAGGCTGCAAATGGTTTAGGATGAAGTGGTTGCGGGAGAGAAGACAGGTTGGTAAGTAACAAATTATCCAATAATCTTTGTCAGATTATTGTGGTTAATGTCTTTATGAGAAAGTCTAGCGACTGCTACTGAGTCCCAAGTACTGGTGGTCTACTGGAACAATAACTGTAGGATATTTGGTTCTATTTGAACATCAACTATAGAAGCTTTGGCTTTATTTGAATTTCAACAATCGTCGGATGGTGGATTCTACTTAGTTCGATTAGAAATATTCAATAAATTTTATTGCATTGTTAAGGTTAATCATCTTTCCTTTGAGTATAAATTTTATTTACTATTTCCTTCCCCCAGGCGACCCCGCACCCGAAGTGACCTGGGCCATCCAGTCCACGGTGCAGGTGGCAGAAGGCCAAACTCAGCTGACTTTCTTCAAGTCGAACCGCACTGTCGTTGGTCCCGATGGTACAGCCTACTTTACCCACGTGATTGCAGAGGACGACTCTGACGTCTCGAACATCTTGTACATCTGCCTGGGGGTGAGCGAGATCGCCCCCCAGGACTACAGCCTCGGCACGACCGTCAAGCTGAAAGTGGTGCCCCCTCGGGACGGCATCGAGAACGCCAACAAAACCAACCTGAACATCGAACCTTTCCTGATGTACGGGTCGCCCAATAAGACCCTCTTCAGGGGCGGCCAGGAGAACAGACTGTGGTGCATCTTCGGCGGAGAGTAAGTGATGGTGACACTGGTGGTGCTGTCTGAGCAGGTTATTCCAATTTGTGTACTTTTGTATAGATCCCCGTTATAAGTGTTATGTTGAGCAAGATTTTCACACCTCAAACAGTATATTTAAATCGTCATTCTTCTAGCACTAGAATTGGTTATACGAGTTGTAAAAAAATCATATCTATGCCATACTAAAAATTTTCTATTGTCCTATCAAAATCTCTATCAGTCGGAACGCAATATGTAACCAAGTTATGCTTAACCAAGAGCCTTCCGATCAAAAATTGTCACGAGTTCGCTACTCCGTCAGCTAATTACTGACGGCTACTGACTCACAGACAATAAATTGGCCGCTCCGTGTACTTAGGCCGCTTCGTGTACTTAGGCCGCTACGTGTACTTTGGCCGCTACGTGTACTTAGGCCGCTACGTGTACTTAGGCCGCTACGTGACAACTAAACCACAGACTAGTGTCCGCTACAGGTGGGTGTTCTCCCCCAGCAACAGACAACCACAACAGCACCCTGGTGTTCCACAACACCAACATCACCCATGCAGGCCGCTACAGGTGGGTGTTCTCCCCCAGCAACAGACAACCACAACAGCACTCTGGTGTTCCACAGCACCAACCTCACCCATGCAGGCCGCTACAGTTGAGTGTTCTCCCCCAGCGACTGACAACTAAACAGCACCCTGGTGTTCCACAACACCAACCTCACCCATGCAGGTCGCTACAGGTGGGTGTTATCCCCCAGCAACTGACAACTAAACAGCATTCTAGTGTTCCACAACACCTAAATCACCCATTCCTACTTATTTCTAACAATAGTAATTGAAAACTTCTTGATTTATGTACTCATGATGAGCAGTCACAATGATTTGCTTCTTTGAAGAGTTTCAAATTCAACGGAAGTCGACTACACCTAATAATGAAATAAGTCACCGAACAACTGAGCATTTTCTTACGTGTTGATGTTTCGGTGTCACTAGGAAAGTGTGGAATAGTTCATAAGGTGATACAAAAAGAGGAAGGTGATACGGAGAAGGCAGTAGGAGATGGAGAAGGTGCAAAGCGCATAACTATATTGAATGAAATTGTTCAGGTTTTGGTTAGGGCTGAGTTATCCTCATGGCTATCAGGCTTTCGATTACAAGTTGCCAAGCGTTTTTTTTTGGACAAATTCTGCGATTTAGTTTTTTCAATTGCGTTGGCCGGCCAATATCTCTGATAGTGGTGAATCATTATTAAATTTAAAGAAATAAAAAAGGGAATTTTTATACCGGAACCTTCAAATATACTAGTATATAATATATTAAATTAAAGGTATTTTTTCTCCGCGGACAAAAGGCCATCTGGCAACCCTACAACGAATAGCCGCCTATAACGTCTCTCAGTGCTTCTGCCTGAACATTAACTAATAATTAATTATTGTTATTGATTTAATTTAAACAGTATTTAATTTAGGGAAACAATCCTGCGTGCCCTAAAGTGAAGCCAATTTTCTCATATTTACCTCTCAATTCGCCAATTTATTTTGTAATATATTATATTTTTATCTAAGGACTTGATCAAAAAATCAATGTCAATTTGGTCACATATTTGGCATGATATACATGAAAGTGCAGTAATAACATTTCAGAAAACCCTTTCTGTCACATATGGGTAGCTAATAAGACCCATTATGAACAATTTTCTATTCATTCTGAAAACGTCATAGTGACGTCATGCATCAAAATGAACCAATCACCAACCTCCATTATGACCCTGGAAAAATAACCACCCGCAGGTGCACGGGTAGTTATTTTTCCCGTGAATTGAGCAAAACATTTACGTAAACTTGGCAGCCATACGCGCAAACTTTGGGAAAGCATGCGTAAATTTTAGAACAACATGCGTAACCTATAGGATAAGGTGCGTAAATTTTGGTTAACATGAGGAAGCATGTTTCTCGCCAGCGGCAGCACAGGCGTAAACATTGGCAGCGCAGGCGTAAATTCTTCTTATTTACGGTTATTCTTCTCCCGCAGGTGCACGGCGAGCAACGGCGCTGGTCCCATCCACCAGCGGACGATGGAGGTGACGGTGGACATGCCGCCCACCTTCCGCCAGGCCATGAAGTCCATCACCGTCCGCAGCGGCAGCAGCGTCACCTTTGTGTGCGACGCCCAGGGTGTGTAACTAGGCTCGTATAGTCCGTTGAAGGTTCCTGTTAATGTATTAACTAGAACACAAGTGATTTATAGGCGTGTATAGTCCGTTAACCCTCTACCGCCTGACATGAGTAACCGGAGCAATATTGTCACCCACCTACTTCCCAAAAAGGATAGGTTCTAGTGAGCGCAAAATGACTTGCACTGATGGTTGCCGCCACGTACAACAACTTTAAAATGTTCTCTGTTGCGTACAAACGTCCTCAGGTTGCTACACTCAATAGTTTACGTATAATTTAAGTTGAAAGTTATGTTCCCGGAGAGTGACATGCGGCGGTATAGGGTGAAGGGTTCCTGTTAATTACTATCTTGTATCCAAGTGATGTGTACTATCTAAGACCCAAGGGCGTGTACAGTCCGTTGAAGGTTCCTATTAATGTACTATTTAGTTTCTAAGTAATGTACGGGAGCGTAAAGTCCTTTAAAAGTGCCTAGTGTGATAATCTCATGTATCTAAGTAATATACGTGCGTGAACAGTCAGTTAAAGGTTCCTGGTAATGTACTATCTAGTATCTAAGTGATATGTACGCTGCACAGTCCGTTTAAGGGTCCCGATGCGGAGAACGTCCGGTATCTAGTACCTCATGCAGTGATGAATCGGGATGCACAATCGGGTAAGGGTGATAGTATCTAGTATCTGTGATATTTTAGTGTGATATTTTTGTTAGTATAGTTCCTTAAAGGATGTCGGTATGAGAAAATATAATATTAATGCGTAAGAGTACCTCTTTATTTAGGAAAGCTCCATGTCCTAGTGATATCTATTACCACAACGATGTCTTGTAGTTTAAGAGTACTTAATCTAATAGTATCAAATACCTGAGTACCCTATGGATGACATTGGTAACCTCAGAGTATCTTGGTCTCACAGTGGTATCTGGCTCCTGGGTGATGACATTCAAGGGGATACCAGTTCCTCAAGGTCTAGGAAATAGTATATTTATACATATAATAGCATATAGAAATAGTATATAGCAGGACCACCTGGCTTCCAGTGATAAATACCAGTACACATTACTTGTGTGCCACCTGATTTCTAGTGGTACTAAAATCGTTTTTATACCTGATGGCACCTCAGTTGTACAATGCAAATTGTGCTTCAGTGGGAGTTTGATAGTATCGAAAGAATTCTCGGTTAATTATATCATGTTGGTAACAATGATTAACAGGACTGTTGTCACGTAGGTGCCTTGATGGTACTATACGAGCTACTAAGAAGTACCACAAAATCTAGCAAAGTTACACCATAGCTCTTGAGTGGTGTAGAGTATTACTCAATATTTCATGCACCCGATGGTGAACATTTGTAGTATTAACGGAAATACTATTGAAGTATTGTATTGCTTCACAAAATTTTGAGGGCTGATTTAAAATAAACATTAATGTTCGGATATGTTTTCTTCTAATGGAAGTGTGTTCATTAATTGACAATCTCTAAAAAGAACATTTCTTCCTCATCTTCTTTTCTCCTGTTTCCATTGTATTGCTTTTTGCTATGCCAACTTCCTGATGGTACTACTTATCACTCTTCATTGGCTGTACAGGTAGTGGAGTGCTGACGTACACGTGGTTCCTGAATGGTCGTGAGATAGTACCAGGGATACTCGGTTGCTTGTTTCTATGAAAACTCCTTAATGGTACTACTAATCACTCTTCATTCCCTTTACAGGTAGTGGAGTGCTGACGTACACGTGGTTCCTGAATGGTCGTGAGATAGTACCAGGGATACTAGGCAGCAGGAGGACAGCAGTTGGACAGAACTTGACCATCGCAGATGCAACGGTGGCGGACACCGGCAACTACGCCTGTAACGCCACCAGCATCGCCGGATACGCTTACGGCCAGGCTACACTCAGCGTCTTGCGTGAGTCAAAGGGACGCAAGAAGCAGGCTGATCCAACTAGCTTATAGGTACGCGCACAGTGGAAGCAGGTTTGCCCGCGCGGGCAACCTGCTCCAACCTGCCACAAGAATGAACATAGGATAATAATGTAAGTGTTCACAGTGAAAACCTGTACGAATAGGCTTCTGTATTCTATGGTTTCAGGCGCCAGCCTGAACAGGTAACCAGCACGCTGGCAACCTGCTTTCACTGTGTGCGTACCCTTAACTAGCATAGTCGAGACTGGTCTCGTATAGATAACCTAACCAAAACTAGCCCAGACAATACTAGCCACGCGTATAAAAGCTTGGCAGACACAAGCCCTGTCTAACCTAGCCAAGTCTTCACTACCATGACCGAACAACCCTAGCTTAATCTGCTCTAGCCTTGTCTAAACCAGCTATTTCTAGAACATCGATCGATTAACCCGTAATTTAACGTCAATTTTAAATTTTCTATTTATTTTTTAGTTTTGATCGAATCTTTTTTTCTAGATTTGAAATCGTATGTTTTACTTAAGAACAATAATTCTGAAAATTCTCTACCCTCTAACATGGCTATGCTGTTAACATCTTACGTATGCAGCAAAAGCCACACTAGCAATTCCGTCGGCATGTGTTGTCGGAGGTACGAGAGCATGGGGATGCGCGCTGCGAACTCAGCTGCGTTTTTACATCTAAAATTTTATTTAAACAGAATAAATATTCGTCGCACGGCATTTTGTTACAAATTATATAAGAAAGTTCTCTGGCTTTTCCGTAGTAACATTTGTTTTTTTTAGCACCTTCCTGGTTTTTTCTGACAACTTCCGTTACAGCCGCGGCAACTTCGGAAGGCGGCGCCTGCCCACAAGTGGCACCTCTGCGTGAGGAGCTGGCGGAGGTACGAGAATCGCTCCAAAAACTACGCGACTTCGTTCAGAACACCAGGACTGCGCAGGCTGATGCAAGCATCAGTTTAATCCAAAGAATCGCTGCAAAACTCAACATTCTGACGCAAGAGGAACTAGATCTTGCGGCTGCGCAGGAATACATCACGCGCAACCGCGAGGATGTCAAGATTACGGCGGACTTGCGGCAACCCGCCAACAACAAGGAGGTACAGAATACACAATAGGTATGCCCACTTTATCGTTTCTTGCCTGCGTTGCGTTTTGTTACCTACGGATATGCGTTAATAACATGCATGGAAACCGTCGATAATACAACCTTTCAGTCGTTGCGTTTTGTATTTTATGCATAATCCTATCCTGCACGAGAAAAGACTGATTATCCAGCAATAAAATAGTAATGTGTATTGCAGTTTCTTCGTGTATGCATAATTGAAGAGCATGGAAGAAGCTCAAAATTGCTTCGAAGAAGTGATCACATTTTGTTATGCTGTCTGACATTTTATATCGATAACATGCATGAAGGAAAATATATATTGACAAATTGCTTGCGCTTCATTGTTACACGATCGATAGCGTCTGCTTGCGTTATTTAAGCTTGAGAAAAATAATTTAATTGGACCAACCAGAAACCATTTTAACCGTCACATGTTCCACCCTGCATAAGCATGATGTTATTTTATGTTATACAAGATTTACGGTGTATACCATGTATGCAAGTATACTGTATTTATAATTTACATAGATTTATGTTGATGCCCCAAGGGTAGATAAGAAATTGAAAATACTGAGAGTTGACTAACAAGAAATTTTCTGAAACATATTTGCCATATTTTCACGTTCTTACCGAACTGCTCCTCAATTTCATTTTTCGAACTGCTTCTAAACTTTCTTAATTATTTTTATGTTGTTTGCCAACTAATACTAAGCGTTTCTCTAATCTGTTATGCCATATTTTGTCCAAACTGCTACTCCGCTTTTCCAAACTGCTATTCAGAACATTTTCAATCAATTTCTCTATTTTTCTCTAACCTTCCCTCCAACCGAGAGAAGGAGTTCTCTGATATCAGTTGGGTAGGCAAGGGATTGGGGTGAGTGGGAGCTGTAGAAATGGTCTCCAAGATTGACTAACTTGTGAGAGCTGAAGATTTTGTCAATAAGAAGGATTGTGTTACCATACTTTCAAAAAAAGTTAAGAGATCGTAAGCCCATCAGCCAATCATTGACGGCCACGCAAGCAAAATCCACCAATCATAGAAAAGATTTGAGAGCCTAAGTACTTACGTTCACTTAGCGAGTTTTGAAAGTATGGCCCCTGGAGCTTTAGAAGCGAGGCTAGGTCCCACATTCGGCACCCGCTTGGTGCCGAATGTTTGGTAGGTATTTCGGTAGTTACGTAGCAGTCAATATCCTGAGGTTCGTCACTCTCGGATCAAAGGATAGGAGGTCATCGCAATCCCAGCTCTCTCATGACGTGTCTAGATGTAGTATACCTACGTATCTTACACTAACTTTGCCACACCTCGACCTCTAACTCGCGAAGCACCCACAACTAAACCTACCTAACCTTTACTCCTCAAACATGGAAAGGATTCTTATAGAACTGAGATACATATTACACGTAGAACCACCTCGTTTTTTGCTTTTGTGCTGACAGTGCAGTTAAATCGAGGACATCAGAGCCGTTGTCGTCTATCTGCAGTCAGGGACTAAGGCGAGAAAAATCCAGGGCCCATACTTTCAAAAAAGTTAAGAGATTGTAAGTTCTTCAGCCAATAATTGACGGCTTTTCAAGCCAAATCCACAAATCATAGACAAGAAAATAGAGCGTAAGTACTTACGTTCACTTAGAGAGCTTTGAAAGTATGCATGGCCTCTGAAGACGAAGGGGTCTCGAATGGGATGGTGTAGTAGTGTTTTTGTCCACCTCTCTTTTTCACTCCCTCTCTCTACCTCGTCCTCACACTTTTTCTCTTCTGCTCCCTCGCTCTCTTCTTTGCTTTTCTACCTTCTCACCTTTACTTCTCTCTTTCTCACCCTTGCCCTATGATCAACGTCCACATCCATCATCCGCATTAACTTTGCTCTCTTCTAATCCTTCTCGTCGCCCCTTCTCCCTAATTCGGCGGTTAAAAGTTGATGCCCATTTTCAACATTATTCTGGGATTTATATTAATCACAATAATTTAAACTCTAGAGTAATTCTTATATGTTATATATTATTACTATTTTATAAAGTGATACCAAATAAATAGAAGCGAATGCTATTGAAGGAAGGATTTTCCTTACAGGAGACCCCAGAGTTCCTGTACGGGGAGCAACCAAAAGTTTCCCTGAGGAGCCCACAGGTGGAAGAGGAAAGTGAAGTAGAAATTGAAGCTGCTGAGGGAGAGAAAGAAAGTGAAGCTACTGGAGGAGAGAAAGAGAGTGAAGCTGCTGGAGGAGAGAAAGAAAGTGAAGCTGCTGAGGGAGAAAAAGAAAGTGAAGCTGCTGGAGGAAAGAAAGAGAGTGAAGCTACTGGAGGAGAGGAAGAAAGTGAAGCTGCTGGAGGAGAGAAAGAAAGTGAAACTGCTGGAGGAGAGAAAGAAAGTGAAGCTGCTGGTGGAGAGAAAGAAAGTGAAGCTGCTGGTGGAGAGAAAGAAAGTGAAGCTGCTGGAGGAGAGAAAGAAAGTGAAGCTGCTGGTGGAGAGAAAGAGAGTGAAGCTGCTGGAGGAGAGAAAGAAAGTGAGGCTGAAAGTGGAAAGGTTGGAGAAGGAAGTGAAACCATTGTTGAATCTGAGGGTGCAGAGTCAGAAAGTGAAGCCGAAAGTGAAGCTGAAGGTGGAAAGAAAGGAGGAGAAAGTGAAGCCGCTGCTGAAGCTGAAGCCGAGGGTGCAGGTTCAGAAAGTGAAGCCGAAAGTGAAGCTGAAGGCGGAAAGGCTGAAGGTGGAAAGAAAGGAGGAGAAAGTGAAGCTGCTGCTGAAGCTGAATCTGAATCTGTGGGTGCAGAGTCAGAAAGTGAAGCCGAAAGTGAAGCTGAAAGTGGAAAGAAAGGAGGAGAAAGTGAAGCTACTGCTGAAACTGAAGCCGAGGGGGGTGCAGAGTCAGAAAGTGAAGCTGAAAGTGAAGCTGAAGGTGGAAAGGCTGAAGATGGAAAGAAAGGAGGCGAAAGTGAAGCGAAGGATACTAAGCCCAGACTTTCAGCCCCAGTTTCCAGACCCAAAGTCCCTCTGACCGCCGCCCTCAGGAGGAAGGCCAAGATTTAATCCTTCTGGAAAGTTCTTATCCTTCTGGAAAGTTCTTATCCTTCTGGAAAGTTCTTATCCTTCTGGAAAGTCCTTATCCTTCTGGAAAGTTCTTATCATTCTGGAAAATGTTAAATGTTTCAATTATACCCAAAATTAAAGGATTGGATACTGATGTTGTAGAGGCATTGAACGTGTTTCTGCTGATGATTTAACGGGCATTGAACGTTTTAAACCTGTTATTGAAACGGGCATTGAATGTTTTAAAGCTGGTATGTAACGGGCATTGAACGTTTTAAAGCTGATATTGTAACGGGCATTGAATGTTTTAAAGCTGGTATGTAACGGGCATTGAACGTTTTAAAGCTGGTATTTAACGGGCATTGAACGTTTTAAAGCTGGTATTTAACGGGCATTGAACGTTTTAAAGCTGGTATGTAACGGGCATTTACTTAAAGTTAGCTTTAATATTTAGTACGTCAAGTTTTTTGGTAGTTGAGTTGGTACCTTAATCTACCCTCCCTTTACTGTACCCTAATCTACCCCGACCTTTATTAATGATAGTACTTATATTTAAACCTTTTAACTGATATGATAATTTCAGTAGCAAACTTTAATTATAATCAAATAGCTGGAATGATTATTAAAAAAGTATTTTTCACATCAATGGATTATTAGAAAATACAATAAATTTAATTACCAAAGGTAATTTTTGGGTAAATCTTGTTATTTGTTTCAGAAAACTAATTTTGTTGAAAATTGTTAAATTATATGAGTTGTTATAAAAAATGTTCTGCGTTGACAAATTCTGATATATTATGCAATATAATTTTATCTGTTTTTCTTTAGTTTATTTGTTAAGCTACGCATTATTGCTTAGTTTAGTCGCAGTTATTCCTTTAAATTTGAATAAAATTTTGAAAATTTACTCGTTTCTCTAAAATCATTAACGAGCTTTCCTAATATAGATACAATACATAATATAGATGAAATAAATAAAATATTTATAATAAATAATCATATAAGTTGAAGCATCGAGTAAATCAATTATTTTCTTAAATAAATAAATTTTCTTATTATCTTAAAAATCTTTTAAGAAAATCTCTCTTTATCTTTTCTTAAAATAAATTTTCTTATTATCTTATATTTGTGGTCTAAAGAAAATTTAGCGTTCGAAACACCAGAAAAAACATACATTTATTGAATAAATATATATATATTTGTTATACAAATCATTTCGAATTCAATCACATCAATTTCTATATAGGTTAGTGAATAAATTTCGGGCATTTTCCATAAACTGAAAGAATATTCAATTGACACGACATAATTTGAATATATTATTGGTAGAAATAATAGGCCATATTTAACTTGCGTTCGTTAATTATATAATGTTAAAGTCATTTAATTAGCATAATTATTCACATTACCAAGAGTTTATCATTCAGATTTTTTATATTACTTGAATTGATGCTAATGTTTTGTATACTGTTTATTAGTTATGAACAATTGGGAGACTAGAAGTGCTGATGTATAATCAAGATAAATATGAACATATATATATAGTGATGGTAAATATATAGTGACGGTGAACTGGATAAACTAGAAATTGTACAGAATAAAGTAGCAACACTAGGAGCCCCCAAGTGGACTGCTGTGGAGGCCCAGAGATAGGACATGTGGAAGTGGAACACTAATATACGTCGATAATAAATCTAAACAAATATTTTGCAATACAATATACCTAAGTTTCAATTCAATGAAGATTGGAGCCTTACCCGCCATCCAACTTCCCACATATGTGGGAATTACTTATAAATTAGATGCAGAAGTGCAAAGAAAACTAATATAAGGAAAAGTTAGCATCAGTCATACGAATCAAAATATATTGAAAAGGGAAAGAAATATTGAAAAGGGGAATATTGAAAAGGGAAATGGAATATATGGAAAAAGGGATATATTGAAAGGGAAAAGGGAAAGAATTTAAGGATACTTAGACGGTGGTGCATTGAACCATGCCGCTTTGTCGATACTCCGGCTACTTCTTAACAGACAGAATACGAGTGTCGGCGGTGAAGAAGTGGGCCCATGGCCTGTAGCCGACTTTTGTTCTTCCCGTGACTGGTTTAGAGGAGATATAAAAACCGATCTGCACCACAACCAAAGATATAACGATAGTTTCATCATTGATGATACGAATAAGTAATAATACAAGAACTAAGGAATACGAAGGGCCAACAAAAATTATCAAGCCCAGTGACTAACACGTTCAAATAAACTAAAGCTCACATTAGTTGATGCGTGAGGAGAAACATTAGTCAACTGCCATAATGACCACGCGTGTTTGTTAGTTGATAACTGGGGACAAATGCATTGCATTGAAGTTCTCGGACCAATAAATTTATATTATCTTCCTCCGGCAGTCGAGGTCGCAGATACCATTAGCTTATCAACGCGCAAATGTTCTCAGGAATATTAAATGAGCACAGTGACTAAAACGTTCAACTGAACTAAAGCTCACATTTGTTTATGCGTGAGGAGAAACATTAATCAACTGCTTTAATGACCAAGCGTGTTTGTTAGTTGATAACTCTGGGCAAATGCATTGCAGTGAAATTCTCGGACCAATGAAGTTCGATTGTTTATCTCCGGCAGTCGAGGTCGCAGAAGTCGTTAGTCTCGACGTGCAAATATTCTTTGGAATATAAATAAGAAACTAAAATTATTTCATGATAATTTTATTGGAATATTGACCTTAATGTCTGCAAACAAGATCATCAACGTCATCATGGTTTATTATGCAAAAAATAGTGCGTTAGATTATGTAGTCTGTAACTTAAAAATATAAAAAATATCATTATACGTTATTGCCGCGAGTCGTAGAGCGTCATCCCACTTCGACATGACAAGAAAACTTTACAGCCAATTTTGATGGTTCGATTCACCCTTTCAATAGCTCCGTTACTGGGCAGATGAATTAGTGTCGTAAATATATGTTTTATTGCGGCTGTTAGTAGAATTGGGATTCCCCTGGCTTTTATCCGCGTTTTCAGCACGTGTTTTAATATTAATGTCTACACAGCTTATACGCAGCCTAGCAACTTTCGGACCAGGCAATAAGTCCAGCAGCTATCTCAATCAATCGTCAGCTATGGAAAGATCGGGTTCCAAAGGCCGGATCCCTTGTGAATCAAGTCACGAAAAGTTCAAGAATCGGCAAC